CAGTGGGATTTGAACCCCAGACCTCTTGCATGGCGGTCTGGCAACCTAACCACTACACTAAGATCGCCAGACCTAATAAACTACTTTTCTAATACTTTGAAATAAATATTTATTGATATCTTTATATATCTTTAATTATTACCTCTTTTATAATTGCAAATTACCAAAAATCTTCTTTGTTAAGTTTTATAAAAACATTTTATCAACTTTGACAAAATACAGTAACAAAAAATATTATATAAAATATTCTCTATTATTAATTACTCTAGTTAGTTGTTATCTTTAAAGAAATAGAAACAACATAATAATAACTTATTGTATACTCTTCATATAATTACAAATAATAATAATTATCAATATATAATCCTGTTTGCAACACTAATAAAACTCTTTTGATAATATAAGCTACTTTTAATAACAAAAAAAAAAAAAAAAATTTTTCTAAAATTTGTAAATTTTGTTTGAATAATATTATTATAAAAAAATATTTTTTAACTATAAAACTATAATTATATGTAAAATTTTATTCTAAACAACTTTATCTAAAAGACAAAAATAAATTATCTTAATAAAAAAATAAGTTACTATATAATAAATATAAAATTTTTAGTTTTTCTATATAAAACTTTTTTTTTATTAAGACAATCTATTTTTGTCTTTTAAGTAAACTTGTTCAGAATAAAATTTTACATTATTTTGTTAAAAAAATTTTATTATCAAAAAAAGTATGACAAATCGTGTGACCGTTAATATTTAAAGAATATAAAAGCGTTGATTTAAATAATTCAAAAAAAATAAAAATTTTTGTTATACGTAAGTAAATTCTAGCCATAAGATGTACTTTAAAAAAAAATCAATCAAGTCTATTACAATTCGAATATAATTAATAACGTTATTATATATCTTTAAAACAATCATTGTTAAATGAACTTTCAATAAATGTGATCTGCCACGTAAAAGAATAACTAACGGCATTTTGCTTCGTAATTACTTTTCTTTGTATAAAATATCATCAAAATTCGGCCATTTTATTTTTTAACCATCATTTTATCATTAGAATCGGCATAAATTATTTTATAATCAGTTTTTTATTTTTTTTTAAAAAAAAAGCAAAATACTTCCAATTTATTAATTTTATACGAAGTATACACAATATTTTATTTAATAAATACATATAACAAAAACATAATCATTACATAAATCGTAATAAAATAACCTATTTACAACAAATATTACGACCTGCGTCATAGGTTACGACCTGCGTGATTTGATACAACCTCATCATAAATTACTACCTGCGGCATTATGACAAAAACCGTAACGGTCACGGCAAAAAGTTGCAACTACCGCTACGGAGTAATGACTGCACCTCTATGTTTACCATCGTCAGTACAAGGGGATCCATCTGGGGATGGAGATGTGGGTGAAGGAGCGGTAGAACTTTCAGTTGAAGATGAATTTGCAGTAGTATTTAAATATTGTCCGGTCTTTTTAGACTCTGATTCATTTGAATTTAATCGTCTATGAAAATATGAAGGAGATGCGGACTTTGCACGTGGAGGAAAATTTTCACCTTGACTTTTCCCAGGACTCAAGCTGTCCTTTTGTTCAACCGGTGACTGATTATGAATTTGTGATCTTGAAACGTTACTTCTTCCAGAACCAAAGTTTTGTTGTGGACCATTTCCAAAATTGCGTCCAAGAGGAGGAGGGCGATGCCGATCAGGTACATTCCTTCCAACATTAAAATTAGTGTCTTTAGGCCTCCCGCCATCAGTGAAAGTGTAGGATCTTTCCCTTCTACCATTCGCATAATATTGTGGTGAAGGAGAATCAAATATAGGGGTATTTGGACTAACTGAAGAATTTCCACTAGTGAATGTGTATGAACGTTCTCTATTAAATGTTTTATTACCCTGGCGTAGAGGTTGAACAGGCAAAAAGCGAGAATCATGTTTATTATAACTAAAAGTATTAGCACGGTTTCTAGTTCCATCTCGGCCAAAGGAAAATCTTGTATCTTGAGGAGAATATCGGGCATCTTGAGGCGAATATCTAGAATTCTGAGAATAAAACTGATTCGTAGTGGCATAGTTTCCAGTATTATCTTTATCATCTCGTAAATTATGACTTGTATTAGTTTGAGATTCTTTAACAACGCAGCGAGTGTTGTTGCCTCCAGCAGGAAGAGATTTTCTCGTAACTTGAGTTGTTGTCAATTGTGCATCTTGCATATGAGCAATTGTTCTTTTAATAGTTGACGACTGAGGAGGAACCGTATGGCCATTACCTGCAGCATCACGAAGATTTGGAACGCTTCGTTTGAGGAACTTTGAAGCCAAAGAATTTGGATTTGAACGAATGTTGGGAATACTTCGCCTAGGACCTAGAGGAACATTTTCATCCATTTCATCATCATATTGTTGAATGTCAAATTTTTTATTTGGAGATGCAACACCTCGAGCTTGTATTTTGTTCGATGGAATGGCAATTGACAATGGAGAAGGTACAGAAGGTCTCCTACTTTGTATATCACGCCAGTCACGAGGAGATTTTACAGAATTAGAGCGAGTTCGTTCCAAGTCGAAATAATCTTGATGACTTTGATTTACATCAGTTCCAATACGAATAACTTGAGACCTATTTTTTGGAGACTTTTCAGTCATAATAATGTTCTCATCATTAACATGATTTATCCAACCATCAGTATCACAACCCAATCCACCATCGAAACCAGAAAATTCTTGATCAGCATTGTCAATCCAAAAACCACCAAACTCATTAATAGGAGTTGAGGGAATAGAATTCACTTCTTGACTATCAAAATTATTGTCATTCCAAGATTGACCATTTTTCCAAGCATTTTCAAATTTCTGGGCCTCTTGTTCCCATTGAGCAGTTGAATCTTTTACAGTGGTCCAAGAGATTTTTGTTGAAGGTCTTCTAGCATATGAAGGATATGAAGGCTTTCTTGTATTTTCGGGACGTTTTCCACGTCGTTCATAATCTCGACCATTAGGATGATAACCGTTATCTGCTTGACCAGGGTCACGGTAAGGTAATGAAAAAGTACGTGATGGTGATATAGTAGCGAATTTTTGATATGGAGGCACACTTGCACTAGGAGATATGGTTAAAGAGTTTGCACGTTCAGGTTGGTTGTAACAAATAACATCGTCCTTGTTTTTAGTACGCCAAGAAAAGTTCTTTCGTTTATTAAAAGGTGAAGGTGGGGGTGAAACATAAGCTACATCATCTTCGTAATCATTTCCACCACGTGGAGATTTTATTGTAAGCGGAGATTGTGACCTGTAACCCCGCTGACGTGGTGAAATAGGACGTTCATAATATTCATCATCAAAAAATAGAGGTTCTCTAGTAACTTTTTCTGCCTCCGCTCCACATCCGACTGTACCACTATAAAATAAAAAATCATATAATTAAAATTAAAAAAAAATTTTTTTTTTTAACGAATTTGATTAAAAAATAATGATTGATAATGCATTTACAAATACGTACGCTAGAAATTTACGTAAACGATTGTAATCTGGTTCTTCATCATAATGTAAGTTTCTCGCATATTGAAGATAAAGCATAAATCCTTTTGGAAGACCTTCATATAGTTCATCTAACGGAATTTCTTCTTTTATCTTTAACATCTTTGCCCAGCCTTGACGTGAGTTACGTGCGGTAACACCGGCCCAAGGAAGGTCACCTCGTAATAATTCTAGTAAAACATAACCTAAAGACTCCATATCGTCACGACGAGAATGCTCTAAAGGAATGTATTTTGAACATCAATGGAAATGCAAATCCAGATAGAAACAATGTTAAATATTAAATAAATAACTTACGAAGCCCTTTATGAACACCTATAGCGGCGTAACGAGCAGTTCCAGTTTTATTCTTCGTCAAAGGTTGATTTTTTGGAATATGTTTTCCAGTTTCACGGTTTATATAGAACGCGGATAATCCTACACACATATAAGAATATTTTAACATAAATATCAATCAATAAATAAATAATTAATTACAAAAATTTATAATATATTTACCGAAATCCACAACGCTCATGTGATGTTTCCTTCCGACCAAAAGTTTTAGATCCTTAAGTTTTGCCTCAGATGCATCATCATCAGAATCGAACGCAGCAAGCCGACTTATTTGTAATGGAAAGTTTCTTTCTAGAAGAAAGTTATCGGGCTTAACGTCCCTGTAGACAACACCTTTTTTATGTATGTATTCTAATATCGTTACCTGCAGGAATAATGTACAAAAAAAAAAGAATTAAAAAAGAATAAATTAGTAAAATATAATAAACTTAGAAATAGGAAATATTTTTTTACATACCATTTGCTGAGCCACATCACTCACGAAATGTACAGGAAGCTTTGCATAAGCTTTTCGGAGCAATCTCAGGTTGGGCCCAAGCAAATCAATAATCATGGCATTATAAATGCCTTCCGTTCCAAACCAATGTACCGTTGGTATGAAATCTTACATGAAAATGCATTTAAATAAAGAATTTTATAGGAGCAAAAAATAAAAGAAATTGCATAATATGTAAACATACTCGCTCCTTTAAGTAACCTGAGCATTTCAGCCTCATGCGGTAGTTGGGGATGCTCTACGTCAATTAATTCACGCTTTATCGCATATCGTTCATTGGTTGCCGTGTGCACAGCTTTTAATAATAATAATAATAATAATAATCAAAAGATATGAACGATTAGTAAACGTATAAATGAGAAAATTTAAGACGTAAAATCAAGTAAAAACCGAAAAATACAAAAAATACAAAAAAATACAAAAAAAAAAGGAAATAAGAAAATGCCGCAAGTGAATGAATACAAGAAAGAGTACACTTTCAAAGAAAAAAAAAAAGCGAACAGCATAATGACAAAAAAAGTAAATAACAAGTAAAGTTTATTAAAGCAGACAAAACACATACCTCGAAAGACCTCGCCGAAAGACCCCTCTCCGATTTTTTCTTCGACCAACCAATGTCCACCCACGACTACGTCGCCTCCCATTATTACGGACTTAATAATGAAAAAGTTGCGAGAGTGCAAAAGGTAAGCAACCCGCAAATAGGCGGAGATTGGCCTTCAAATTAAAATCTTTGAGAGTTCGACTGGAGAAAGTCAATCGAGCTTCAAAGTTTACGTGATGATAGAGAAGGGAATGAAATCAAGACTAAGAAAAGGTTGGGTTTTCTTTGCTTATAAAAATAGGTTTATATTTAGCCAGCGAACTAATATTGAGAGGTGGAGGTTTGTGTGTGTAGTGAAAAAGAAGCAACAACTCAAGCACACGGAGAACTTGTGCTTTTTTGTTTGAGAATCAGCACAGCTATTAAAAAGGGCTTGAGCAAGCACAGCACACAACTGAGTCTACACTCTGTTTATTTTCCGTCGTCAGTGTTTAAAAAAGAGGTGGGAAAAAATAGGCAAGCGAAAACGATAGAATGTATGCGAACAGGGGGTGACAATGTGACATTTGGGTGATACAGTACGACTCAAGGAAAAGTAGAAAAGCAGCGGATATTTTAATAAAAGATCATAGGGTTTTAGGGCGTGGGACTATTTACGAAAAAGAACCAAGAAGCAAATCCGGGGGACTATTTATACAATAATAAATTACCCACACCAATCAATAAAATTCAACGAATTCGTGATTCTATTCCTGACAAGACCCTAAACAAATAAAGTATATAAAGTGTACGAAAAACCTAATGCTTAACGCAGATCTTTAAGCAATGAATTTAACAAAAGTACTTACGTACGTACAGTACGTACTTAAAAATGTAATAATTACTGATAAAGAATTTTATAATCACTTGAAACAAGAAAGTGCAAAAAGTTCTTGTCGACGATGATAACTTTTATTAGAATTGTATCACAGCCATGTATGGCATATACTACTGTACAAGCCCATCGAGAGACTGAAAATTGTAGTACAACCAGGAACCTTTTTTTTTTTTAATATCGATATCTGATTTATAAAAATAAACTATTACAGTAATTTCAAAAATCATTTTTAATTGTCGATAATCATATAACCTTAGAATGGTGAATTCACATCAAATGTAAAAATTTACGGTGACATTAATCACTTTTTCAATTATAATGGTCAAAAAGGAAAGATTTAGAAATTTAGAGATTTTTAAATTGACAACTTTCGTGACGTAAATCCGATGACGCGAGCCCCGTGTTTCCTGAAATAGCAACTTTCAAAACCACCTGGTAACACTTTCATGACTTAAACACCACACACGATGTAAGTTGTAAATTGGATCGTCCCATAATAATAACGTTTATCTATAATAGTTTAAGATCTGACTTGGTTAATTTATATTCTTAAACTTTCGTACGTACGAAGATTTACCACGCACACGACCATCCTTCGAATTAATTGTCTTATCACAAAGATTTATAATTCATGTATAACTTAATCTATTCTACTATGATATATGTCCTGTTTCACACTTGTTAGAAGGTTTTGCATGTCCTTCACAACGAAGATATCTAATAACGTGATTGGATGCATGCTAATAAACAAGAAAATACGTATCAAGCCTTGCTAACGTTTTTCTTATTTACCCGCTGCCACCCAATTATTACCTTTTCCGATAATGAATTCACTATGTCGTGTCCCGGTTTTAACCTTTTTTTGATATTTAGGAACTTATAAACTGCAATACGTAACAGCAGCAGTGAATGGCTTAATTATTATATGCAAATACAAAATAAAAACAATGTTTCCTAAACATCACGTACTCGTAACTCTAAATTCCTAATTCGGTATAAAAAAGAAAAATTAATTATGTCTATGAAAAAAAAATAAATAAACAAACAAAATTGTTCATGTTCTTTATGTTGATCTACACAATGTTTATCCGCACGGTTAGGTAGTAAAGAAACTGGTTGCACTCTTAGAAAATATTAATTTATTCTTTTGATCCAATCAAAACTTGTAAGCATTTTTATTACAATTGTTTTTATTTTATATTGTTTTATTTTTTATTAATTAATTAAAAAAAAATTGTATAATTATTAGTTAATAATAATAATAATAATAATATTATTATTATTGGTAAAACCAAGATGAGATCATGTCTCTATTAAATTGGTATAGGTTCTGGAAAGACTGAATAGGAACTAGTCTTACTATTAGGTTTTGGACTTGTTTTTATAAATAGTCAAGAGGTAATTTGACTCTGAAAGTTATAAAAAATAGCAAATTTCATACGTAGTAAAAAAACAGCGGAACTTAATATAGTTTTTTATAATGCAGGAATGGTGCTTACATATTAAGTGTTTTTTTACGAAGTAAACCTTTTTTAAGCTTCTAAAGAAAATTGTAGAAACGATTATTCTCGTTCTAAAGCGACTTGAAATTAAAACCTCGTTTAACGTTATCCCTCTCTCCACTTACAGGTCTCCCCTCCAAAAAAAAATTAAACAATTAATAAAGTTAAAAAAAAAACAAAAAAATTCTAGTTAATCATCTTTAGGTTCAACTTTAACCTGATTTAGGTTTCGATGAACCTAAGTTTGGTTCACTTGAACCTAGTTTAATTTTATTGTTTGTTTAAAAAATTTGTATAAAAAGAGAAAAATAATTAAAAGAATAAGGTTATACAAACTTAATCGGTTTTTATAACCCGGCCGGGTCAAAATTTACAAAACTCTAAAAAAAAATTTCAAAAGTATATTTACTATTTGGATGAGTTTTTTTAAAAAATTTATAAAAAATTTTATGTTTTTTATATAGTATATAAAATTTGGATAAATTTAAACAGTGCATCTATATACTTTGTATATCTTATCCTTTAATCTGTAGGCTATTTCCAGGCAAATTTGCCTGGAAAATTTGTATAATACTGTTATGATTTACATTTTTATAAAATTAAAATATTCAAACAAAAATTTTTTTAATAATATTTGAAAATAAGGATTATATAATTGCAG